GTAATTTTCCGGGGGGTAATTGTCCTTAGGGGGTTATTGTCCTCGGGGGGTAATTCTCCGGGGGGTAATTTTCCGGGGGGTAATTGTCCTTAGGGGGTTATTGTCCTGGGGGGGGGTAATTATCCGGGGGTAATTCTCCGGGGGGTAATTGTCCTAGAACCTAACTATCCGTCGTCAGGACTCCTCAATCCTCGCTCTCTCTCTCTCTCACATGGTGTACCCGCAAGCCTACTGTATAAACATGATTTAGTTTCTCATATATATATTACGTATTTTTACAATGTGTGACCAAAACAAATTTCCATGTATTCTCTTGAATTTGGATAAATAAAAGAATTGAATTGAATGGAGTGGAATTGAATCACCCTGAATTACCCAGTTGTTTTCGCCTACGGACTGTTTGAGACCGGTCTAGCGGTGTGACTGAAATATCTCAGGCTTTCATTTTACATCGTATACAGATTTTCTCTATTTCATAAGACTTTCCCCTCATTTCTTTTTTTCTTTTCACCTACCCGTCAATTCGCTTTGCTTTTACAGATAGCATATAAATCCATCTAAAATACAATTTTATAAAACAAAATTACATCACTAAGTGTGAAATCACGGTTATTAATGGATTATCAAACGTACCTGGCTAATGATTCATTTTTACTTCGTTTCCACAGGAAAACCACACACGAACTCAAACCGACGAAGAGACAGATGATGGGGAGAAAGATAATGGAGATGTCGAAGACGGCTGGTTTGCCACTAACATCTGTTTCGGAAAGACAAGATACACTCAAATGATAACCGAAAATTTACGAAAGAATAATTTATATAATGATTACACGAAAACGGGTCTTCTTCGTTCCACCGTATTTTCCAGTTTCACAAACGTTCGTGAACGTTTGAGCCCTTATCTTATCGCCAGAGTGTCTGGTTCAATTTTCAACACTTTCTAAAATATCACGTCTCAACCTGAAAGTTTTAATACGAAAAAAAAATAATCACAAGAGTTATTAAAAAATCATTGAACTTTCACTTAGACTCTAGTTCATGCTAAACCACAGTTGAATTAAATCTGACTTCAGACCACAGGTTTTATGGATTTATTCGAAACGGTTCATTCGCGCCCAAGTGACCTCATTGCAGATTTTGTTATAATCATACTAGATAAAATGGATACCTTATAAAAACATTAATATCAGTGAAAATGCACCTGAAAAGTGCATTCAGTAGGCCCTAGGTTCTACTGAATGCATCATCATGATAAATATCGGACATGATAAATATCAAGATATATGTCGGTCACAACTTCATTTTTGTTTCTGAAAGTCAGGTTTAGTTCAACCAGAGTTTAAGTCTATGCAGTCTAATTTGAATCTGAGTTTGTTTGGCATGGGGATGTTGTATGCCGCTACTGTACATTATCAGGAGAGGGCATTCTGTCTTCTCGTTTGATTTTCACCCAAACATGTGCACGTTTCTTTTATTTCTAAGGTATTGTATGCAAACATTTCGTGAACATGCCAGTACCCTCAAAGAAAGAAATTCAACTCTCCACTTATTTTGTATTAATTCGCCTACAGAAGGCTTTGCGAAGTTCCAATCATGGCAGACCCATATAATGTCCTTAATATGATAGACAACGACTTTAGGGATCCACAATTTTGAAAAATTGACAAGGCAAATGAAAGCTACCAGATAGCCCTTCAGCCTAATTTGATATCCAATTTTAGATTGGGATGAAGGGCCAGAGGAATTTAAGGGGGAACAAAGGAAAATGACACAACTGTTGCAGAGACAGATCCGGGAAGGGGAACTTGTGACACAATATGTGTTACGTTTATATGGTTGAAAATGAATGATACTCACCTTCCGTATACAGCGTAGAGTCTGTTGATGATGTACTTGTACTATCTAACAATTGTGTATAGACTGAGATAAATGAAAATGAGAAGAGTGATGATAATTCCAGTTCTTTATTACATGACCTTATCTATTAAACCAGGTAATATTTCAACGATTATATTCATACATGGCCAGTAACATCGCTGGATGGATATTTGAAGGTTTGTTGTACCTGACTGCTAAGAAAGGAAATGCATGTTTGTAAGTAAAAGCCACTAGCACATCGACTTGGTTTCGAACCCGGAATCTCCCTTGTACGAGACCTCAGCTTTCCCAACATGACAACTGAGCCGTCGCGCCTCCACTGGATGCGAACGTCATTGGATTTGGATTAGCATGTGCCCATCCGCGAAAAAGGCGACTAGCTGGAAGTGAAAATAAGGCGGGATTACAGTACTGTCCTGTGGCTCGTCTATGGAAAAAGAAAATGTGAATGATTTTTTTTGGTTTTTTTGATAGGTTCAAGCATAGTTTCGTTTTGTAGGTTTACTTTAATTACACACTTGATGCATGGATGTAGTTCGTATGAAGAAAAAAAAACGTGCCTAGTTTGAATATTCTTTTTCAGTGGTACCAGCCCCTTTAAAAAAAACTATTCACGGAAAAACCTGTTTAAAAAATCAAGGTTGAAATCATATAGATTTATTTGATACTTAAAGAATTATCGCCGTGATGGTGTTATAAACATTTACCCAAACTAATATACCAGTGTTTGCTTTAACAATACCGAAATTTCTTATGCATTTACTCATACACAAATTCGCTTGAGAGTGCTGAAATCATAGGCATATGGGCATGTTTTCAGAGGGCGGTAGAGGGGGTGGGGGGCGTAGGGCCTGGTGGCTTATTTGAACCGTCCTGTATATAAATTACACAAGTTAGGGAAGTGATTGAGCAAACAAAATAAAAAAAAAACAACGTTTAAAGGTGGGAGCTCAGGCCTGGTGGCTTAATATCAACAATCTTCTTTTGAAATCTAACGAGCGTTCGAAGAGAGCGAGCAAAAAAATAATAATAATAATCAAGGCGGGCTGAGGCCTGCTAGCTGAATGCGAACTATTCTGTTTATAAATTGCATGAATGAGTGAAGTAACGAGCATAACAAATAAATAAAGTGTTGATGGGGGGGGGGGGGGCTGAATATTAACCATCCTGTTTATAAATTGCACAAGCTGGCGACGTGAGGTAGCAAATAAACATTGTTCATTTTGGCCAAAATGTTAATTCGACATCTACATACATAAGTTCGACATAAAAATAAATAATTTCTTTCTCAAATTAAAATTTGTTTATTTAAATCGTATCATGATTTTTTTCATTCTTTCCTTCCTTTTCTGTTTTGTTTATTTCTAATTTGTTGCTGTCTTTTCAAGTGCCGCCTGGGGTAGATTCCCTCCCTGTCACCCCCATAGATACACCACTGAGTAAGACATTCGCAATCGACATTTTATGTCACAAATATATACCTTTTATATCGCATGTTGAACTAAGGACGAAATATAATGAAATTAGCATTATGTAATTTATCACATTGCAGACATGGTTAAAAAAAAACAACTTTATATTTGAAAGCAGTGTAATAACAATTGGGGCAAACATACATGAGTCTAACATTATGCGCATAATTCAAGACTAGCAAGAAAATATAAAGAAACACATTGCATATGAAAATAAAAATGCATATGAAATTATAACACACTTGGGGGTGTTTTGAAATTAGTGTTTATGTAGAAGGAAAATAAAACGGTTGATCTAAAACGCGATCTTAAACGCAGTGTTTAACCCTTTCTAAACCTGGAAGTACTTACATATTGGGGGGGGGGGGGGGGGTGCAGTTTTTAATTTTGTCCAAAATGAAATTTGTTTTTTTGTGGTGATATTTCATCATAGCCATGCCTATATTATTATATAGAACTTATATTTTGCTTGTACCCCATTTATACGGCATTAGGCAAATTATAAATTTTACGTAATAAAAACAATTATCCGTGCATGTAAAAATGTGTAATCGTTAAAATAATACCGACCTTCAATACTTTGCAAGGATGAAACCATTCCGCGTCTACCAAAAACAATTAATAGTTGGTATTGCATTATATTCCATTTACGAATGTGAAGTGTGATGCCTCAAAGCTTCACAACCCTCATGTTGTACTCAGTAATATTTAAATAGTTCACAATAAAATCGTTACAGTACGTATCTGAAGTTAGAAAATAACAATAATATTATTAATGATAATAACAATAATAATAATAATAATAATAATAATAATAATAATAATAATAACGATTCTTGTATAGAGTTTATGTCTCACGCCTGGCGCTCCATTTGTATCACCCCTGATTTAGCACGGCTGCCATTACAGCATTCGAGCATTATAACGAATTAATTCGTACCACGTACCCATTTATCTGACGTGGGTGAAGTGTTGGAAATGTAGATTAATGCCTCGCAAAATGATATTACTGCTAGTACATTGGTAAAATTATTTTTACACCCTTTGTAGACTCCAAATTCATTTTAATGAATATGTACATAGTATTACTCACACCTTTCCTCCACATACATACGTGAAGGCCTATAATTATATCTATAAAACCCTACATGCTGTATTAACAGGACATCTATATATAACCCTAAATGGTACATTAACAGGACATCATAAAAACTGGTATACTACCCTATCCCTCACCCTTACCCTAAATTCAAAACAAAAACTAATTGTACTAATGATTAATTTCTTGGGAGGCATTTAAAGTTTCTTCTGCCTGCAAACGTACGTATAGGGCAGTAATTATTCACTACATAATATGTCCGTCTATGACGCTGTAAGATGTATGTTATACAATATGCTTGATGACAATTGATATACCGTATATATATATATATACACACATGTACAAAAATTTCCTGTATGTATGCGTGTATTTTTGTTACTTCGGAAGGGGGGGGGGGGTATCATCGAGCAGTATGCAATGTATACACGTACATTATACACACCATCTCACATGTACATACACATATTGATATCGTACAAGGAAAGAGGGTAAGCAAAAGCCCAATATCTGATTTGCTTTATTAATAGAAAATGTTGAAAATGTGTTTATGAGCGAGTGCTTCGCACTGCCTTTTCTGTTATACCTTCAATCATTTCACATGTTGACAAGAAACCATTCCAAACAGGATAATATGGCGATAGTCCTGGAACACACTGCATTGTTCCACCTCCATTCAGACTGTATCCATCATCACACGTGAGATGAACAATGGAACCAAACCACGTGATGTTTGAATCCCATGATCCATGAATGACGTCATCCAGCTCATCGCAGAATCCAACGGAAACTTTAGAATAATGAACATAATATATAGTTCAACGACATAGGAATGATAGAATATAAAATTAACACTTTATTATGTTCAATTACTATGCTCAATTACTATTCTATTTCATTTCAGTGCATGATCTCATGTCATCAAAATAAAGATACATAACACAAAACAAGCAGGCAATTTATCATTGTATCGAAGCATGTGCATATTATATGCCTCAAATTTCCATCCATTATTCTTGGATACACATATATATAGTTATTTTGAAGAAGCAGACTTACCGTCATACACCAATGAGCTGATAACTTGTCGAGTACCAGGTGTATTTTGGATGCATGTACTATGATCTGCAACAGGGGCTATATCGGGTAGGTTAACATCATCAGCGATAGAACAGAAACATTGTGTTCCGGTCATAATAGCGAGAGCCTCTCTTGTGATAGCTCTACAAGACGACACACACTGTGAGGTCGATTCAAAGCTGAATCCGTTAAGTTGTGGAAGATCTTCAAGGCGATAGCAGCCCTTATATCCTGGTTCTGTATAATTGAATGAGAAATACATTTTTTTTAAAACAGAACACCCAAAATGAGCTACAACTCCTTCACGTCATTCGAGTTTTGCCTCCACAAATTTCGAATTTGCCATTTCGCATTTAGCATATTGTTTACCACTTTCATTTAGAATTTCATACGCTTTTTTATATTCATATTGGTTTAAAAGTGCTGAATTCTTGTAGCTGAATGAATAATAATAATAATAACAAAAAATATTTATGAAGTGCATAATAATTTGAAAATTTCTCTATGCGCTTTACAATCATAACAAACTTGATTGTTTTTAAACATGTTTAATACAACAATAAATAACAAAATAGATAAGCAAATGACAAAAAATATTCATGGGAAAGTTAACCAATGCACCTATAACTTTACACCTACATTTTAAGTAAACTTAATTGACATTACATATAATAAATTCAACAAACAGACACTCATCATGTCGAATCAGCCTCCCAACCAGCAACGGACAAAGCAGCTCTAGGAGACCCTCGAAAACAAATAGGTTTTCAGGGCTCTTCCAAAGCCGTCAATGCTCCCAACAACTCGAAGCTGGTCAGGAAGATGGTTGGGTTGATGTGGTAGGGACAGTCAGGAAATTCTTTGTTGAGGAGTGGAGATTTCTACCGGGTATGTAAGAGCAAATAATATCAAGAAGATATTAAAAGTCGGGGATTTAAGAATCATTACCTTGTGACACAACAACTGTATAAACAATTCTTTCTTTTACAGGTAACTAATGAAGGAGAGTGAATGACGTTATGAAACGATAAAAAAGTTATTTTGTAAAATATAAAGAAAAGCTGCCTTACCATAGCACTCAACTGTGACGGCATCAGCGGAGGTACAGTTTCCGGAAGACCATAAACAATCCTCTAAACGGAATGTGTCTGTGAACATGTAGGTATAGAAGAAGATGAAGAAGAAAACAAAAACAAAATCCGTTTTCATTTGGTAATGCATTTCATTCTTCGTAAATGGAATAGTTAACCGCCTGTGTGGAAAAACAAAAATCATTTACCCGTGCACTATTCTTTGAGCAGATTCCACAAATATACCATACATTCTTACATATCAATAACATCAATATAGTAAATTTTACTAAATTAGACAAGAGATGTTGTACGTCTATATTCAAACTGTTGGTATGATTGTATTAATAATATTTATGCATATAAATGTGTATATTATATATTATATCCTGCATCAAAAATTTGTTGGCTTTTGATTGGTTGAGAGTTCATCACATGACCAAAAATATTTGACCTATATTTAGAAAGTACTATATGAGAGTACTATTTTTTGTTTTTGTTGTTGAATTAAATCAATTTTTTTTTTCAAATCTTAATTTAATGAAAACAAAATATTTTTAATCTTTTAAGATAAAAATTGACATTTTTTTGTTCTAAATTTTTTTTTCTCCCAAAAATGTTTTTTTTTAAATTTTTAAATTTTTTTAAAATAAATTTTTGACGCAGGATATAAAACAAATATACCATGACTTCTATTCGAGGTACTGGTTAAACTATGGGCCTCGGTGACTCCAAAGGAAACATTTGCTTCGGGGCTGCGCCCCTCAGCAAATGGTACTATTGGAGTCACCTCTTTTAACCAGAACCTCTCAAGGCAGTGTATATTTGTATATTATATACCTCACTTAAGAAATCCAGCCATCTGATTGGTCGAAATTGCATTCATAAACTTTAACTATTCCTGTAAATTTCCCGCTAAAATTCCAAACCCATGTAATAGTTTTAAAAAATAGTTCAAAAATCCCAGTAACCATGGTTACCGGGAAAATAGTTCTAAAAATAGTTCTAAAATCCCAGTTATTATGGTTACCGGAAAAATAGTTCAGTCTTGGTGAAATGGTTTGAGCGATCGAGGATACCGTACGTGTGCGAAGAATTGGTCGGTATTTTCATACAAGACAAGACAATTCCAAACAAGACAAAAATGGCTCAATAAACTCTCCCAAGATTTCAACTTATCAAATGCAAGACTCGCTGACAGCAAGAACAACAAAAAGGGTACATGAAATTATCCATAAACATGTTCGTTTAGTTGCTGAAAATGCTTAGATCTAGTAATAGTCAGGGTGTCTGATCGCGCACCCGATGTTGTGTGCTAATTCTTCCCATAGAGATTGCACGCAATTTCAATTCAATTTCATTTATTTCCACAGATTCATAAAAGACAATGTAAATTACAATCAAATATAAAAGTATTACAACAAAAGATGAACCTGCAGAGGGGGTGATCAAAAACCACAGAGGTTTATCGGGGATCATCCCCTGCTTAAAATTACAATATAAAAATACAATAGTTTTTTTTTAATTAAACAATAACACATACATGTACAAAAACATATATAGATATTACATGCAAATCTATGCAAATCTATGCGAGTCTCTATGCAGTCTACGTGCATTGCGCGACCATGTAATTCGAGATTCAAACCTTTATCTGTTGTGATCCTGAAGGTGATACTCAATAAGTGAGGTGTCATATGAAAGCGCAGGTTTTTCTCCATATTCCCCACAGGGCCGGCCCACCACCAAAATTGTAAAAATATCTTGCTTAGACTAGAATCTAGATCTAGTCTACTCTCAAAGATACACTCATAAAAAACAACCATGCAGATAAACTAGAGAAAGGCCAAGGTGGTGTCATTAAGTTGACTTTTTTTCGGCATATAAAAGTATTAATGACTGCTTTAATAAACGTATCAGACATCTGAGCAGGGCAATTTTTAAATGTTATTGCCCTCAAGGTTTGATGGATAAGCCAACAAAATTACAATATTTTAGCCCGTTCAGGAAAGTCAATGGGATTTGTGTGTAATTTGCAGGTCAATATGGTTATACAGTACACCAATGAACAAATATTTTAGCCCGCTCTGAAAAGTCAATGGCAAAATGCGTGTTAAACTAGTGAGCAATAATATAGAGCCAGTTGTAATTTACATCGCGCATCAGCTACTGTAATTTACATCGCGCATCGTGTAAAAGAAAATGCGCATTTTGCGCGAACTCTATTGTGACGTAACAAACACACCCTAAGCAAACTGTTTGCAGTGTATCGAAAATCTGTCAAACACTGGATGCACAGCGCTGGTTTGACAATGTTTGTGCAACTTCTAATGCTAGGAAACCCTGTGTAGCCTACATAATTTAATAGTATAAGATAGTAAGAGTTTCTTGTTTGCTCTAGATGTCTGATGTAGTGATATTGACTGCCTAATTCAGGGCAATACGACTTGTCATATATCACCCTCACCTTCGGTTCGGGCGATATATGTCGTATTGCCCAGAAGGCAGTCAATATTAATTAACTGTTACCTATATAAGGCATTTTAGCTGCTAAATAAAAAGTCGTATTTTTCACGCTGCTCCATATTGCCCTCTTCCGGGTTTGCCCCGTAGACCACTGTACTAAATCAGAGGGCAATATTGAGCAATATTGAGCAATATTCCACTCTGTCTTGTCCGTGAGCTTTACGCGCAGTATTGTGTAGGCGTTTAAGTGTACGCGCGGTAACAATCATTGTTCCGTCATAATTAGACACAGTAACATTCATTGTTACGTCACAACATAACTCACATGCCCTGGTCACAATTACATACCTGCCTGAATAACCTGAAATCAGATGGACCGGCAAACAGACGGGAGTAAAAATCAAGATTGATACCGAAGTTGTATAGGCCCCTATCAATAATTTGCTTAAAAGTGCCATGTTTAGGTAATAATAATTATATTGACAGGGCTTCTTTCGGGGTACATCAGAAATATTGACCGCGCTAAGACCATTTTGCCCTCGTCTTCGACTCGGGGCAATATGATCTTAGCTTGGTCAATATATCTGATATACCCCTCAAGCCCAGTCAATATAATATAATTAACAGGTGGGCTGTATAACGTACAGACCACCTTATAATTTCGTTAGAATTGCCTTTATTTATTTATTTATTTATTTTTCTTATTTCTAACCACTTTTTTGTGGACAAGATAACATGAAAATGGCTCAATCAAATGACTTCAAATTCGGCACACAGTATAGGCATATGTACAAAGCACAATAACGTTTTCAACATTGACCTTTACTGATGACGTCATCTAGGCGCCATTTTGTAAAATTTTACGAAAATCAACTCATGATCATATCTTCATAACCAAAAGCTATTTATCATGATCAAGGACAATATCCGTCCGGTCAATTTCAGGTCAAAGAACGCGCGCGTGCGCGTACGTCCGCGCGTCAATGCGCGCGCAAAATTTAAAAATGCTCAAAATCGTCTTAAAATCATTTTGCATACGTTTTAGGCCATTCTAAGCATTTTATAAAAAATTGCGCACACGCGCATGCGCGCGCGTTTTCGCGCGTAAAGCTATTACACAGCATAGAATCGCTATTTTTTTGCTTTCATGATATTCCAGATATTTTTACAAACAAATTGATACCATGTTTGTCTCTTTATGACTATTAATAACGGAATGACCGACCGTTTAACATAAATTTCTGTGCGCGCGAGCTCTTGTAATGTATAGCATATATGGGCAAAAACATGCCTATACAAAATCCATTGTAGCTCTTTAGGATGCAAGGTGACCCCAAATTTTTGTTCATATTTTGATAAAGTATGAATCAGAGATATTGTATCATGTCTCATTTGACCCTCAATTAACTCATGACGTTATCATAATGGCCTCCGAACTCAAAATTCCAATTTGCATATTATGACGTCAGCATATTTATGGAAAATTGATTGTATCTCTGTAAATATTGATCGATTTTCTTCCAAATTTTGATATGTTGTAGCTGAGACAATAAACTATCTACAAATGCAATTGGTATTATCCTTCATTTTGACAAAGGCATCATGTCATAGTTTTGCGATTAAAGGAGGCATGTCAAATTTTACATTTTGCGTGTATTCTCTATGGGACATGACTTTTTCTCAAAACTTGGTTGTACATTCCCGTCTTTCGCGAGCAATAACTACGTCGTTTTAGCTTAGTTTACGCCGAACTTCGAGTATGTTGTAGCTGAGACAATAAGCTATCTCAAATGTGCCCTTTATTTTGTCTCAATTTTTTGTTAGATCAGCCCACCTTTACTTGTTCCAAACAAGTATTACAAATCTAGTTATATTATTCAAATTGTAAGCTCGTCCATTCAGCATGTGCTAAACTAAAAACAAAATAAAGAAATTAATAAAATTATGCACATAATTAATTCAAAACATGCTGAAGCCCAGTAAATTGACGACCCACGAGTAAGACGGAGCACGACCTTCCGAGATTTTCTAAGGGTTCGTGAGACTCACAGACTGTCTACTTCGTGGCATTTGGTCTCATGTTTTAGTTCTCAGTCCATATACCTGTTACCTGAGATGCTATAATTTGTGTACGCGAGTTCAACAATGCATTGTGTTTAACTCGTTGTTCATGAACATAATAAATATTATGTTGTCATATCAAATATCGGTGTAGAATGAAAGTAACTTGATTATGGGCGATACCAACCTGACGCGCAGACATATCTTGCTTTGTGATGAAAGTTTGCAAATTTGAAATGAAAGGCTCCACGCTCCTGCAAAAGCTCAAGCTAGTTCTCTCCCTCTATTTACAAAAAAAAACTTTTACTCAACTGTATTTCGTCAAATGGAGTAAAATTGTCTTGCATAAGAGAGAGAGACGCTTAGATATTATCGTTTTGATAGTCCATTTGACAATACGAGTGCGCTTTTGGCGTGATGTAACGGATGTACTCACAGTCATTACAGATGGGAGCCTTGATGCAATCCTGCCCAGCTGAAATACAGTCCTCAGTCCCGTACCCGTAGGAAACCTTCTTAACAGCAGGATAGCCGAGTTCTCCACAGACGACCTCTGCCACCCTTTCATCAAAGCCGTCTTTGCTTACCCTCCTCCAGTGATCCGATTGAGTACCGTTACGAAGCTCAAGGAAACCCTTTCCTGGTGAGTTATCGCCGACAATACGTGCCACATTTGCATCCCCTTGTAAAGAGAGAGAGAGTTACATCAAAATACAGAAGAAAGAGTAAAATAACCCTCACTAGCGGAAAGATAAATTGAAAGTAATGTTAGGTTTACAGCGTAAATTTTAAAACACTGATCTCTGCTTTGTTGAGGAACCGATGGGGATGAAAAGTTTCTCCACCGTTGTTGACCCACATTCGATTATTTACAACCAAATTGAAAACCGTGTATTTTGTTTCTTCTTCTGCAATTAAGAAAGCGAACATAAACCCGATTTACGTTTAAAACCTTTCACCAAACTTTGTTTTCTTTTGAAACGGATACACTATTATGGCATATATTTTGTAGGCATCATTTCATTTTTTTCCAAATCAGAGACAACATCAAGTAATTATAAGCCCAAACTATCTTGTATTGGACGCATTTCTTGTTTAAAAAAAAAAAAAGAGCATATGATGTTCATTTAATCAAAATATTGTGTGAAAATCTTTTACAATATCCCTCTCCTTTTATCTGCCTAAAATTAAAGCTTATCCTTTACTCTGATAAGGTCAACTACTGCATTGTCTCGAAACAGTTTTGCCTATAATAGCAATTACTTGAATTAGTGTAGCAGGATGATGATACGTTGAACCCCCTTCTCGTTCCCGATGAGACGGATATGAATGTCATCTTCAACTCATTTCCTTTAGTCAAGAATGGAGGGAACTGCATTTCTTCCCCTGTGTATCGCATGGAATTTTGATTAACCACTATGTCAGCCAGGTACAGGAAATCGTCTGTCTCTACGATGAAGTCATTGAAGGAAACGAGAATCCTGCGACCTTCAGGAGCAGTGATAAACCACTTCGTATTAGCATCATCCGGATAATTTGAAGGGTAGTTGGGAGATGTAAACGAGACGTCGCCTCTGCAGGTTATATCTATATCTAAAGCAGAATGAAAAGAACAGAAGAAAAGTCAATAAAATCAAACAAATTTGAAGTGAACTCATCCAGGAAGAAATTTGGAACGAGTAGAAATATACTCATAGAAGAGAAAAGAGAAAGGGGCCGAAGAAGTTGAAAAGGAAAACTATGTAGACAAAAATCGACATTGAAAATTATGAAACAAACCTCCAAGTACAATACATGTACTATCAACAAAATTAATAAGATAATTCTATTAACGATTTAAATTTGGTCCCAGAAATACTAATAAATGTCTCTGAATCAGAACGATATAACTCTTTAATCAACTTTGACAGAACAAAACAATGAATATGTGTTGAACTATCATACCATCTCTAAAATGTTCGGTGTCAACCTTGCCCACATGTTGTAGAAAATTGGTTTGGAAAAAAGAGGGCGGGGTTGGGGGCTATTGGCTAATTTCAATTGTGCACTTTTTTTCTTTTTTTTTTTACAACGGTGTATTATAAAAAAAGAAAAAGACTTGCTTTAAAAAAGGTACATATAAGTGAGTTTAAAGTTTTACCTTCACTTGATACCGAAGACATAGGCGCAAAGAGTAGGAGAATAAGAGCAAAGATAGATATATCTTTGGATGATAATTCAGTAAGTGTCCGAGGCGATGGTTTCGTGGTATCGTTCGTGGCAAGAACGTAACTAATATCGTGCTTATGAACTTGAAGGTTATTTAAAGAAGCCATTTTTGCTTCAGCAAGTGTAGAAGGCCGTTTACTGGATGCGCACCCGACGAATGCACACCCGAGTTGGGACAGGCAACGGTGGGTTAAGCGGTTTGGTTCCGGCACCCCTCCCCCTCTCCAGCTGCAGATGCTACATATTGGGCCTATATACAAACCATATAAAGTAACAGAAGTTTAATAACGACAGTATAAACAGGGCAAAAATATGCTAAATAATCATTTTGTAGATTTTAATACTCATAATAGCACTTGTAGTTTAACACATTTTTCATCGATAGAAAATCAATCAATCCCAATGTCATATATGTATACATGTACATTATATTACAATCTTAAATAAAAGACTAGCTGTTAATCAAAAGTAACAAACATTTGGTTCAGGAGATTTAGATTCAAGCAATAAAGAATACATTTTTTGTTTGTTTTAGTATTTAGAATATTCATGTAATCACCTGTTTTTATTTTAAATAATTGTAGTGTATGGTCATTTTTTTTACTCCAGACCAAATAAAATTGTCAAACCCAAAATGTGGAAAAGCTTTTTAAATCCTAAAATATTGGAATTCGACGAGCAAAATATCTGTCATTAGCATTTGATCAATATAGCAATCGTATTTCCACATTCCAATATATGTAAGAAGAGAGAGAGAGAGAGAGAGGATAAGATGAAGAAGAAGATGAAGAAGAAGAAACAGTATTAAAAAGTATATTCATCATGATCATGTACAGGGGCGTACGCAGGATTTGTTCAAGGGGGGGGGGGGGGGGAGGGGTTAAAATCGGGCCCAAAATATTTTGCTCCCGAAAAATTTAAAATCGCGCCGGCCGAAAAGTCGCTCAGTGGGGGTGGGGGGGGGGGGTTAGTAATTAATATGCACAGTAATGTACAAATTAGGAAATACATTGCAAACAAAAATCAAGAAAACGGAAAAAGACAGACGATATAAAGCTTGAAATAGAAGAAGATGGAGAAAAGACAAGTTTTGATAAATTGAAATTTACAATAACAACATAATTTCAACGAATGATGACAGACATTAATTGAAAAACAAACAAAACTGTGTAAGATAGTAAAAACAATTATTGATAATGCCTTCCATTATAAACCTGTTTCATGCCACGTATCAAAATACAACCGCTTACTATTGAAGAAAAACGAGAAGCGGACAAGAAGCGGGTTGATGAGATCAACTATCTGATGGAGTTGGCAACCAGCGAGAACAGATGGGGCCTTATCATCAACAATGATATCAGCGAGCAGCATCTCGGGCGTGATGGCGTTCACCTCAACAGAGCCGGTCAACGAATCTTGGCAGGCAACATGAAACGCCTCATCAACCGTGCTGACCAACCGACAACACGAGGGCAGGGCTGGACTCAACGGTCGTCCGATCAGGACACAGGCAGTCAACCTGGAGCAAGGCGGTTTCAAGCCATCTACCGAGAAAACCAGAGTCTTCATTCTGATGAGGAAATAAGCAGCCCCGTAAAATCCTTCGCCGAAGCTGTTTCTGGGAGATCTTTGGATTTCAGCGCAGTCGATCAGAGGTCACGACTGAAGCCAGCCTTCAAACCATCCAAGATGGACATGCAAAACCGGGAGAAATATCTTCAATTTGTAAGAAGGGTACTGAATTAAGTGAAAGTTTGACAAAATCAAGTGATGTTCCGAAAATTATAGTTGACGGTCGGAAATATAAGTTCCCCCGTGGGAACTGTGATAAGCCAGTCAAATGTAATCAACGCGGCCTTCTGTGTTCTAATTGTAAAAAATGGTTTCACACTATTTGTCAAGCTATCAGTTTTTCAGAGTACCGCAGGTTATATTATGAATGTCCTGATGAGAAATGGAATTGTTTAACATGTTGTCTGCCATCTTTTTGTGACTCATTATTTACTGACGATTGCCTAGAGAAAGAAAGCCAAAGTGAGGATAGACTGCTTTCTTCTGTCACTTCTTACAAATATCTTGGTATTGTAATAGGTTCAAACCTCTCTTGGAACATTCAGGTTGATGCAATTACTGCACGCGCGAGTCGTCTTCTTGGGTTTATAAGAGTTGTAGCCCGTGGTTCGTCCACCTCTGCTATATTTGCCCTCTACAAGGCCTTGGTACTGCCAATACTTGAATATGGCATCCCTGCATGGCATCCCAATACCCTAAAACAAACACAACAATTAGAAAGAATCCAACGTATAGCAACGCGCGTTGCTCTTAAACAGAGAAGAGGAGAAATGCCGTATGAAGAAAGGTTAAGGGTTCTCAACTGGTCTACCTTGTCAGCTCGTAGAGATTATCTTTTATGTTCATTTACCTTCAAATGTCTGTACTTTTGTTGTGACTGTGAAACACTAATAGAAAACATAGCCATTAGCAAGAGACGCCTCTTTACACTGTCCTTCATTCATCAGCAATCACGAACACAGGCCCTGTTCCTGTCCGCTTCCCGGAGATTTCCTCGGGTATGGGATGAATTACCGTTAGAGGTTAGGGATGCATCGGTGGTCTCCTCACTTTCATCCTTTCTACTCTCTATGAAGCGGTCCCTTCTCGATTCTAACTAATTTTCAAACTGAGAGGGGCTTCCTCACTGAGAGTGGGGGATTCCTCCTTTTCTTTAATAATCATTGTTTATCAATATCCAAGAACTTATTGAAACACTGGATTCAGAATGTTACTTGTTTAATTTTTTTTTTTTTTTTTTTTTCCTCTTTCAATGATACAATGATTATATTAATTGAACCTGGAACAATGGTCCACATTGATAGCTTCATATCCACATTATGCCACTCTTCTTAAATGATAACACCATAGGCCCTACTCAATATTTTGTGAATGATTATCAATCCTAATGCTTATTGCACCTTTAATTTCTGCAAAAATTGTACATTATTGTGGTACATGACGTTTTATAATTTCCTTGACTGTATAGCCCAAAACAATATTTACGCTCTATTCATATGTATATTTTTGTTATATACAAGAAATTGCTGGTCAGATTTACCTTGAACAATTACACATCTCTTCTTTTTTCTTTTTAATTAGAATTTCTTTGAATGAGACACCGTTGGATCAATTGAATAATGACGATTTATGTTAATTGTGTTCTGGTTATTTTAAGTTTTAAGTTTTTTCTGCATACAAATCTTAAAGCACTCTATTCATTGCAGCTTCAT